ACGAAGCTGCATCTCGCTGCTCCCTCATGATGAATCCCAGAGCAACGCCATGTTCCTCTGTCGGCGTTAGCGTACGCAGCATCGTAGCTACAGCCGCCTCACCAATGACTGTTGACAGTCGTTGGAGAGCTTCCCACTCTGGGTCCGACAGGTGGGGACAGTCAGCGCATGTAACGTGAGTTGCAGGCGTAGTGGAGCTTTCCATGGCCACCTCCGTATCCATGGGAACGTTCTCTGCTCCGCGTTCGTGCGGTGACGTACGAGCTCAGATAGTCGGTCGTTGGACGGGCTACAAAGTGCTACCAGGTGTAATGGGCCTACTTCGGCTCACTACTTTAGCTGACACGTGTGCGCGTGTATGTGAGGAAGCGTAGCTTAGTTTAACTTAGAGTTAATTATACTCGGGCCTCCGAGTATAGATTAATCTAAATAAACGATCCAAATAATGTTTTTGGGTTAAAATGAGAACTGCTATTTTTGTTTTATGTTCCTGACTTCCTCTAAATGTAATATTCTAAGATAGGAATCTGCCAACGGCTGGTTGGCAGAATTCCAATGCTATGCATGTCGCTCATTGGCTAAGAGATGCTGCTCTCAGCCAATAGGAATCCTAAGTCTGTATGGACCACCCGTCGTGGTGGTCGTAAATGTATGTAGCCTTTGGTGTGTCTACACCAAGGTCGAGAAAGTCTTTCGAACCTCTAACAGACGTCGTATCTGTTAGAGTTACAAGTGACTGTAGCCACTTGTGCGTGCAATCCTGTTACAATCATAGTGCCTTTCTTGCGTGCGGTACTTACTTTCCATCTAGCACACGTCCCACAGGTTGCCACGTATTCCTTTGTGTCCTTCTCCAACGTGGGCCAGAAGTACCACTGAGCAACCCTCAACTGCGTTCGACGGATTCCAGGATGAGCTGCCGTATGTGCATCATGGAATTCTTGCAAGATGTTCGTGATCAGCCCAGCATTATTGGGGACACACAGCCTCATGACTGAATGATCCGAACACTTGTACAGGAGCCCATTCGATTTAACGAAGTCTGCAGATTTGTTCGGTCGACTTCTTTGAACGCGGGGTCTCGCTTGTATCTAGCTTGGAACTTCTTCTTCTGATCATCGCTTAAATGCACGCTGGATGTCGAGTACTCGACGTTCTGGACTTGTTCCACGTGCACATTGACTTCTTGCTGAATCCCAATAGGGCGACTCTCCCCCCGCAAGTCCAGATCGTCGAGAAGAAGACAGCGTTCGTCGGGCAGAAGCAAGCGAAGCATTACTGCGTGGACACTGTGACGTCGAAGCCTCGAAGTTTGATGCGTACAGGATGACGAACAATCATGAACTGCTGGTAACTTCCAAGGCTCGGGCTCGTCTGTAACTTCATCGTCGGAATCAGTCGCCGGGGGCTGACTCGGACGGGATAGGGCGTCGGCCACAACATTGAGATGCTCTTCTTTGGTCTTGGAAAAGACGCCGATATCGTCCAAATAGACCACGACGAAGTCGAACTTGTGAAACAGGACGCGCATCAGTCGTGACCAAACCGCAGGCATACCCGACAGAGCCATCGGAGCGACACACCACTGGTAAGTCTCCTTGTGAGTACGAAAAGCGGTGTACTGACGACTACGCGGCTTGACCCGCATCTGGTGGTAACCTTGGGTCAGGTCCAGAACCGAGAACACTGTGCAGCCGACCATCTTGTCAAAGATTTCCTCGATTAGCGAGAACACTGTGCAGCCGACCATCTTGTCAAAGATTTCCTCGATTAGCGGTAATGGAATCTTCGGGATCTTCGTCTGACTGTTGACATAGCGGAAGTCGATGACCCAACGAATCGGAATAGAACTATTCCCGGATCGCAGCCATTCTGCCCGCTTCGGGATTTGACCAGTCGCAGGATCTTTCGTAGGAACACCGAAGATATTGGAGACCCAGGGTGAATCGCAGACTTCTATCCACCCTTTCTCCATGTTTTCCGCGACGAACTTTTCCAATGCTTCTTGCTCCGTTTTAGACAATCGAAACGGTGCTCGGGTGCTGGGAGCGGCGTTAGGCTTCATCTCCATGTCGAACTCGACGATGCGCTCGGGAGGTAGGCCATCTGGCAAATTTGCTGGGAAGACATCACCAAACTTGTCCAGCAAAGGCTTAATGTAGTCTGGTACATTGTCAGATTCCACTGCTACACAGACCTTGACGAAGAACAGCTCCACAAACTTCCTGTCCTGCATAGGACGACGAAACTTCTTCGTGGACCCAAAGACACCATTACACCATGCCTCAGCCAAGGCGAGATGTGACCGATGATGTGCGCCATCTTGTTCGCCCTCCTTTCGCACGCGGAAGCCCGGTGCCCGTAGCCCTCTCCGAGGGTGAGCGAAGCGCGGTCAAAAGCGAATCTCCAGCCGGTGCACGAAGACCTCCCTGAGGTTGAGCGAAGCCCGGTTGCGAGGGGACCAACAAGTGTTACCAAATGACAGGCTCCAATGCGGTGGGGCCTGCCGTAGCGAAAGTGCGTGGAGTTGTTGTGGTTGCTTGCTTGCTTTTGGGAAAAATGCAAAGTGAGATTGATTCCTTTAAGTCTTTGGGCTAGCTACGGCTCTAGGTCTTCCTCTTGCTTTCTCCTTAGTGTCGTTCTAGAAGCTGAGCTAACCTATACTATTTGCAAGTGTTTTTTATCTGTTTTCGTAATCCTATATATGCATGTTTGTATACTTGTTCAGGTAGAGTTCTGGATTCCGGGTGCCAGGCAGTCTTGCGCAAGCCTGGCGCCAGCCTTCAAGCGACGCTGCGCGCAAGCTACTTGTGGCGGAGGAGGAGGCGGCGGCGCTGCGACGCCTGACTTCCTAGCCACCAGGTACGTCTTCCTTGAGCATGTCTGTTGCTGGCGTACCCGCTTGCGTGGGTGCCAGCAGCAGACATGCTGCATCATGACACTTTGTGTCTGGTACGCAACGTTTGCAGACTTGGTAGTGCGCGTTTGTAATGAAATCGTAAAACTGGGTCGCAACGTCGCGCTAAACTGTTGGATTGCCGTAACAAAAATCAAAGTTCGTCAACGTCGGTACATTTTCAGATTTTTCTGCATAGTTCTGAGATTTAAAACTGCACGGCGAGCTGCCACATATTCTGCCCAAAGCTGTTTAAAGAGCCCCAACTGCGGGGTCATGCTCGGCTTGAAAAATGTATTGAATCGATACCTAGGAATATCCCGTGGGCTATACATGTATAATGTTTATTCATAATACTGACGTAGCATTACCAGTGTACTAAACTTTCATGTCACATCAGCGTATTTTAATGTCTAATCTCATGCGTTCAGTGTTCCGTAGCTGGAGAGTCTCACTTCGCAATCTTCGAGTAGAGTGTAACGACCCGAATCTGTGTTACTGTGCGGTCTGGGTTCCTGCTGGCCGTCGTTGTGCTGCTTGTCATCTCCGATGCTGCCGCCTCCTCTTTCGAGTCAGCGGAAATGGCAGCGCGCGACAAGTTTCCCCCCATATTTGGTGACGGCTCCCGACGATGTGGAATCCTCGAAAAGATTACTACGATCGCAAGCTGGTACGAACGAAGACAGAGGGGTTGTGGAGTCTGCAGCCCTAACCAAACTCGGGCAAGTTGTTTCTCAATCGAGAGGAGTTCAAGAAGGGCTTCGGCAACTTCAGGTTGCTGAGCGGTACGTTGTCCGGCGGACGAGGGGCTTAGCCTTCGAGAGGCAGATACCTGATACTACTACCTGATAGTGGTTGTCGTGAATAAAACTACTTTGAAGAAGTAGGAACAGCAATGCGCTTCAAACCGAAGCGGTCAAGTAGAGCATCGAGCATCGACAACACCAACATTTCCTTCTTCTGGTCGAGTTTGTTGTTGAATTGAAGATCATAGTTGCCGGATTTCGCTCATGCACATATGAAGGAAGAAAACACAACTAGTTCCTTCCGAGTGCTGCTGTCTCCATACTATATACCCTCTCGAATTTGACGACAGTATCAACGCTATCAGCACCCCGCCTACGTTACGAAAACAACAATAACAAAACAATGATTTTGATTCAGGCGTTTTCTGGTACCCCAGCTCTTGCCGACTTGGTAGAGCACGTTTTTAAAGAAATCGTAAAACGTGGGTCGCAATGTCGCGCACATCGATTTCAAACGTCTCCGGACAGCTCGGAGGCAGGGGGGCATCCGGAGCGAGTCCTAGAGCGCGCCGCGTATTTAAATTAATTTTTTTCTTTTACGAAAAATATTTAATTTAGATTATTTGTTTTAAATTTATAACAATTCAATTAGGTATTTTATTAATTTGGTTTTTTTTATCATCTCAATGGTGTACGGAGTATTAGCGGTTCGAATGTCGAATGAATGGCGAACTGCAAGCTGAGGAAGCGGAGGGAGGTTGAGCTTCACGTCGTAGAGGTCATACGACCAGTTTCATAGATCTGCCGACATCTTGACGCAGAATATATACTGCACATCCGGGATCTGGCGGTACAATTGAATCTTCGGCACGACTTCGCTCCACTCCTGGACGTGCAGAACTTCGACAATCACCGTGACCCAGTCACTGTACTGTACACGTCGCGGCGCCTGGGGAAGCTGCATCAGATCGCGTGCTGGTCTCAAGCAGGCGTCCGGCTGATACGTTACAAATTCATTGTTGGGATTTAGTCCGCTGAAATTCATGCCCCCAGCATCGCCAAAAAATCCGCCGACAGAGCCCCGAAGCGCGTTGGAGATGAATCGCTCAACTAATCCGTGAGGAGCAACCAAAAGCTTAGATTACAAGAAGGCAGTGAGTCACTATGACAGTAGTCTAAAAGCAGGCCCCCACTTCGGATAGAACTACAAATACCATTTTTGGGGTAGAGAGATGGGGGCGGAGAAACGCGCGTTTTAGCATCTTCGGTACAAGAATAGAGATCCGAGTACATCGCATCGAAGTCGAACTAAGAACCAAAGCACAACGATCCAAAGCGTGATGGATGCTGGTTCATCGATGGAGCGTCCGCAACGAATCCCGCCAAAGGTCTCGACTGACGTTGTGCGGCTCTCATACTTCTTCTTTGCGATTTGGTGGTTCATCATCCTTGCCGTTCACGTGGTTACGTGTCTCTACAATGCGGTGTACGCCTACTGCTACTGGAAGCTCAAGACCACGTACCTGAACGTCTGCCTCGAGTTCTACAAGATTGGCATGCCTCAACCTTATCACAATGCCATCGCTATCACGCACGTAGTAATGTCAGCCATCCACGGGGTGTGCATCTTGCTAATGTTGACTGGTTCCATTTGGCTCCGTTCTCTGGCGTTTACCCCGTGGTCTTCAAGAGCCGTTGGTCCTGAAGTACCAACTGAACCAACGAACTCTTTCTTCGACCGCCTAGAGGCATTTTACGACAGAGTTACGTATCCATTCAGCGTTTTTGGAGTGAAAGGGAAATACTTTGAAGTCGCGCTCATATCTCGTGAAGTCGTCGAGACAGCACTGCAGACTGTTCAAGCCTATCGAATGAGTGCGTTACTGCCACGAGTTCTCTTGAATCGATTTTACGTCGTCTTACTCGTGATTAATTGCTGGACATCCCCACTAATTGACGTCGCCATCTACAAACACGACAAAGCCCGCAGAAGATTCGTGTGTACCGTACTCGACTGCTTGCTGGACCTCATGGCTTCTATGGGGATTGAGCTGATAGTGCTGCTGGAATACGTGAAGGACTACGATCCGAAAGTGCAGGGGTTTAGCGGGATTATCTGGTACAACGACGAGTGGGTCGCTCGTGCCTTGAACGAATTCCAGATGATCGTCGTCGTTTCCTGGTCGGATCTTGTGAGTCGAATAATTTTCTCGCTCGGGTTGGTTGTTACTACGCTTAGCATGAGGACATTGATATCGCGTCTACCTCGGAAGAGGAACCGCATTTTATCACGAGCGGATGCTGCCAACACCGTTGCAGTTTGCCCGTGCCCCATTCAGAGAGTTTACCGCAAAGTTAGTAGCCGAATGAAGATTCTACCTGGTGATAATTTCCGTCGGAACAAATCTGTAGCTCAGATAATCTTGAGATCCCAGGAAAAGTGGCGGGCGTATCATGCTAACAGTAAACTCCTTCAAGCAGCTCACCTAATGTTTGCGGTTTGGGGGTTCGTGATACTCGGACTTCATATCCACGCATCGATGCGACCGACACTCCCTCAATGCCTGATGCAAGTCAGACCATGGACGGCTTCCCTCCCCTCCTGCTATCTGGCTGGACTTGATTGCCATACTTTAGAAATATCCGGCAATATGCAACAAGTGCAGGATAAATGGAGTGAGTTTGACGCCTCCACAGTTGTCCAGCTCCTGATCCGACACTGTCCTGAGCTTGAAGTGCCCGACATCTTCAGCGACTTCCACAACCTCCGAGGCGTCAAAGTGTACAACTCAACTATCATTGACTGGGGCGAGTCTGCAGCCATCACGAATACGAACCATCCTCAAGTGGCAACATTGTTCATCGTCCGTGTGAATATGACGGACGGTTTGTTGCCGGCAGGGTTCCAGTCGGAGGATTTCCCCCAAAGTTTGTATGATATCGAGATATGCGTCACCAACCTGCGCGACTTACCCCCTGACTTGGATCATAAATGGCTGGAAGGGGCGATTATCCAGGTGGAATACAGCGAGTTAAGGAGCGCTCCATTGGTATTGGCACGACTCAACCCGTTCTACCTGTACTTGACTGGGAATCCAATGAGGGAACTCCCACCCGAGGTGTTTGAAATCGGCGGCATGGTGTACTTAGGCGTCGGCGACATGGACATCTCCGAGTTGCCGCCCAACGTGAC